TGATAATAGCTAATAATGCATGGACTTGTCTTTCTTTTTTTATCTAAAAGCACCTGGGGTGTCTATTCCACCTCAGAAAGTTGAGGTATGCATATACTCTGTTGCCTCTAATTACCACATGCTGAAGTTGGTGGTGTGGTGAATGGTTCACATAAGTCATAGAAAGGATATGGAAGATGTTTTAATGCAACAGAATACAGAGTTAAATCCTCATATTTTTAACAGATTTTTATTTTTGTCTTGGCCCTTATTCCAGTGGGAATTAATTGAAAGGAAATCTCTATAACTCGAAGGGAAAACCCACCTTTGGCTGTTGCCACCAAAATAGATTTTTTCCTTTTGCCCCCCTGTTTCAGTGATGACAATAAAAATGTTGGATGTCTGCTGACTTTCTGTCTCAGTGACAATCGTGATTAAGTCTTAAAGTGTGAATTTTCCTAATGTGACATCAGGAAAAACCCGACAGATGTTCTAACTGTTCCCCACACTAAGCAAAACCTAAAATAAAGTTTCAAATTAACATCTTGTTGTACATCTGTCTCCTTTGCACTGTAGTGGAATTCTTCCCTTTGGTGACCATAAGCACATCCTTGGAACTGCTGTTTTATTATGCTAGAAAAGCTATAGCCCTTTAAAAGAAAGCTTCTGATCATCCCAACTTTGGCCCTTTGGAAGACATCAATGAATCCTCCATTCCATCTTTACAAAACAGAATATCTTAGAGGTTTCCTGTGGAAATTTCACAAAGTGTGGACTTCACGGCTTTAACTCCCTCAAGCTAATGCACCTTTGATGTCAAAGAGACTGTCCTTTATTGTATACTGGAATAAATGTATCTCAAGGTAACTGACATATGTGCTTTATTGTAGGAAAGGATGGACCATATTTTTTTAATGGCCTGGTGGGAAATAGTCCTTGGAGTGGGTAGAATGAGGCTCCCTGAAAGCTTTTAATTTTTGGGGTTTGTATTTTTATGTTCTTTATTTTTCTGTCGTTTTGTTGGAAATAAGAATCAACATGGTTTGCATAAGTCAAATAGGAACATTTTTCTTACTAAACTGACTGAGAGGACACGGCTTTTTCACTATGTGGCTTTAAGGTTAATGCTGACATTCTCAATCATATAGAGGAAGATGCACAGAACAGTATCATGCAACAATGAGTTTATCTCAGTAGCAAAATTATAAGCCCCTGAATCTGGCTTCTGGAGTTAAATGTAATGTCTGATTGAACCTGTCAAAGCCGTTTCAAACTAGATCTAACAAGGCTCTCCAACCAAGCACCCATGGTGTTTAGGTGTCACCTAGGTTTCTCACCTGCACATGGTGAGGGGCTCCAAGATTGGAGTCTGATATGAAGAAAAAAACTTTTTGATTTCTGAAAATCCTATTAAGTCATAACCTTGGTCCTGGACCACGCCTGCATGAGCATAAGTTCCTAAAAGCAATCATGATTTTACAGCAGCTGATCAGAAAACATGGCTCCTTGGATTGCAGCCCACCTGACTGACTCTATGTGCTGCCTCTTAGTCCCCCCCCCCCTTGAAGCTCTGCTGGACAGTAGACTGCAAGAGGCAGATACCCAGTCACATTCAGGTACTTGCAATGCTCACATTAAAAGAAAAAATACATTTAATATTCGGATGACAGAGTTAGTGCCTTTAATATCTGCCTGGAGTTCAGCTTAAATAGGGTCATAATCAGATCATTATCTGTGCTCAAAATCATGTAAAATTGCATTAAAAAAAGTGTCTTCATGCAACTAACCACAGATGCCCATTTAAAAGATAAGGAGAAAAGTATAAGAACTGCTATCTTTGATGTGACCGGTGTAGAGCATTTTGACGGTGTCCGCAATTGATTGTAAGATCACGCAACTAAGAATTGCCCTACAAACTGGAGAAATGGAGTCAGCTCTTCAGAATGGCAGAGAACCAGCCTGTATAACAAAAATGCCTCAGTCTCTGCTCCCAGCTGCAGTTTTCTTGTTTCAGCCAGGCCCTAGCTATAGTAAATACCCCTTTACAGACTTTTCACTGAACAGAATGAAAAGGAAGCCATTTCGGAGCCATAATGTCTTCTTTTCATTCTACCATTATGCTCCAGTGAATTTTATTTATTCAAAAGGCTCATTTCGGAGCTCAGAGAGCCGGCAGAGGGGAAGCTATTTTCCTTGTCTCATGTTTTAGTAACAAATACAGTTTACAAGAACCAAGGGGTGGGTGGTGGGGATCATAGGTCTTATTTATAAAAATAGATTCTATTAAATCTGTGTTACTTGTAGCAACCAGCTTCTACTTGACATCTAAATACTCATAAAGCAAACAACATATTAAACAAAAGTGACTGATTTTTGTTATACCCTCTGCAGCAAATTATAAATTCCTGGTGATTTGTGCCAGCGTTATAACCTTATTACTACCCATTATGCTTAAACCCCGAAGTTGGGGGAGGTCTTTGAGCTTTGTCAAATGTGTTGACTGTTCTGTGTTGTTATTTGTGAACCCATTCTATTATTAAGAAGTTTTATTATTCAATTATTAAACTATTATTTGTTTTTTGGAATCTCAGACTGTCTTGTTTTGGCCCCTTCATTGGAATGGATATTTGTGAATATTTAATTCTGGGTCCCCCTATTTAAAGGACATCCCATTTTTATTGAGAACGGCTTCATCAGGGTCATTGTGCTTTATCACGTTCTGACCGATCTTCTGATTATTTGAATCCATTGCAATGGACGGTATCTTCTGCCTATTTTTTCTTTTCATCAAATGTCTGTTTGAAATGCTTGAGTCTGTTACAGGTTTGCATTAAGCAGTGCTGTACGCTTGTACGTCTCCATGTTTTTTGCCTGTTATTGTGGCATTGCTAGCATGTTATTCCATGGACTAACATACCCATACATATGTGGTATCATCTTGTGATGGAAATGTATGTAGCCTGCCTCTCCCACCCCTCTCCATAGGGTTTTGGTTCCTTCCAGCAGACACCCTTGCCAGAGAGCAGTCAAATTGTGTTTTCATGTCTGAACGACCTCCATCTTCTATGGCTCTCCCTCTCATTCTCAAAGTGTCATTTTCTAGCACAGATTTGAGTCTAATTGGTTGCTATGGGGCAGCGCTAAGACTCTTATGACAGATGTAGATAAATGCCATAAGACCCTGTGCTGGATGTGCAGACTATAGACGGGTTCCCTCTGTTAGAGTGTTGTTCTCGCTCTCTCCGCTCTATTTATTCATATAATTTTTTTCTGTTTCACTGTAAAGCTTGGTTGTCTTGTTTCAAGTATTGATTATCCTCTGCCATGGTTTAGAACTTCCCATTTCTTTTCTCTGTGCAGGGTTATGCAGTTTAGTATATCATGTATCTGCCATTAGGAGAAGCCTGAAAATGGTTGTTACTCTTATTAACGTATCTCTACTTTAATAATAATCTTCTTGAAATAGAAACATTTGCTTGGGGGATTGCTAATTTCAGATGACTACTAAGCAAAAAATTGTTGTATCTATCTATCTATCTATCTATCTATCTATCTATCTATCTATCTATCTATCTATCTATCTATCTATCTATTGATCATATTTATTCATCTATGATAGCTGACTATCTATGCTTTTTTCCATCTATTTTCTATTAAGGTATCCAAACGGTAGATTGCAGCACACTTAAGAAATTGAATTCAACAGTTTTAAGCTGACACTCTTTATTAAGCTGCCTATCTATTGGGTTTTCTTTAAGGGGTGTTCTCTCTTTTGATCAGAGATAAAAGCAATTACTAGTCTGCCCTCTAGTGTGGACCTGTCTTTGACAGAGGAAGCGTTGGGGTGCAATGCCTGGCATGTGGCCCTGGAACATGTGAAACCTATCTGTTGCGCTGCTGTTCGACGTGCTAGTAAAGGTCATCCTGATTTGCGGATAAAGAATCTCATTCCATGCCCCATCCTATCTATATTCCCATCTTCCCATCTATCATTCTACATAGCTGGGAACTTGCTGGCTCTTGGCCGGCACTGCCAGATTTTTGCTTATATGGCTCATTAATGGCCATGCTCAGTTCTCCGGCTTCCTGGCGATTGTTGACAAAGTGACTGCAGTGTCACTCCTGTCTCTCCTCTCTCCAATAGCAGCCTATTGTGGGCAGGTGAGTGGATCTCTTTCTCAGTATGGGCGCCCACTGTTGAGTGCTGAGTAAAGCCAGGAGAGGGGAGACAGCTGTAAGGATGAAATTAATGGGTGCCCAAGTGTTATGGTTGTTGCTATGTGTTCTGTGCAGGGACAGGGTACGAGCAGGGTTTGTCGTGGTGGAATGCAGGTTCATTTTTTCCTCACACTAATGCAAGGGCATTTCTTCCTTTGCCATTGTTAGCCCCGTATGTTGCACAGCTACTATCTATCTATCTATCTATCTATCTATCTATCTATCTATCTATCTATCTATCTATCTATCTATCTATCTTTTTATGTCACAGAGTCTTTACTAAGCATATTAACGATGGACTATTTACACTTCTATACCCCAAAAAAGTTTTTAAATACATTTCAAGGGCTATTTTTATGTTTATGATGTATTTTTGATGTTTTTTTCATGTGTTTTTTTAAATTTTTTTTACGAATTACAGGGCAGAAAGGGCAAAAAGTAAAAAATTCAAAATAAGCTGAAAAAATGAAATGCACTTACTGAAAATACACTATAAGTTTGCTTTAAAACATGAGAACAGTGTTGATAATGTGTTTTAAATACAGCAATTCTACAAACAAACAAAAAAATATAAAAATCGCTATAGTTTAAGACTCCATTGTGAAATCTGTCAGGTATATGCAAGAAGTGGTTGCTTTTTACTGCCGGTTTTGTGTTCTCAGTAAAAAAGTTGTCTTTTTTTACAATGAAATAGAAATGTAAAAAGTTTATTAGTTTTTTTTTTCTGTATGCATTGTTAAATAATCTTTGTGGCCGATACAGAGAAGTGTTTACAACTCTAATAAAATTATTTTTGATTTCAGATCCTGCAAAGCTCCCTTGTTGCAATGCATAACATGACAGAAACGGTGAATTGTTAACTTCAAAATGTAACATCCCCCACTCTCGTGAGAGGTAGGTATTATTATTTATCATATTTATCATATCAACCAGCAGTGATTCTCTTTTATGCCACTTTGTGTAGCTAAAATATAAATATAAAGGGTATATTTTAGTTATATTTTGTGCACATCGTGCATTCATTTTGGGTAGATAAGGCTTGGGGATCAGCTGTGACAAACAGGTTGGGCCTAGGGGCATTTGTGACAAATAAATGAGGCACAGGGATCATCAAGTAGGTGAGACCTAATTAGTAAGTAGTAGGTTGGGCCCAGGGATCATGTGATGTGGGATCAATTAGGTGAGGACCATAGGTCATGTGTAAGAAGTAGGCAAGGCTTGATTTTTAACAAGTAGGCGAGGCACAGGGGGTCATGTGCTACAAGTAACAAGCGGGTGAGGCCTGGTGATGACCTATGAACAACAGCTAAGGGCCTGGGAGTCATCTGTGACAAATATCTGAGGCCTTGATAAAAAATGGAGACATATAATTTGTATGTCAGTTCCTGGACTGTGTGTCAGCCATGAACAGCTAAAAAATATATTTTATTCAGTCTGTCATTAAAACCCTAGAAAAGTATTTCTCAACCTAAACAATTTTTTTGTCTTTACTTCTCTTTTTGGTCACCGGAGTACATGTACATACTACATGTACATACTAATATACACTTACTAATGTACTCCTGTGACCCAAAGTCAGCAGATAGCTGGCCAATGCTCGCTATCTGCTGAGCTGTGCCAAATTTGGGAAGAATCTTAACAGGATCTCTAGAGCTGGAGGCAGCTGTGCCCACCCCGTCCCTTGTCTATCCCCCAAAAATGACGACTACTCCAAATTTTGCATTTGCCCTCCCGGTGACAATGGAGATCAGGAAAATTATAGAGAGACTGAATCCCCCTAAATGAGACACAGACAGCAGTGAAAACCTGACAGGTGTTCTAATCCCTCTCCACTCTCTCCTGATTAAAAAGAAAAAAGGTTTTGCCTTGAGTTATACTTGAAACATTTCTCAACAGCTGACATAGCATTTCTCTCCAGTATTTTAGCTTACACATTTTCAAAATGTCTCTAGTCAGCTTGTCAGTTTGCTGTTGTTACTCCTATACCGTAGGCTGGGTAATTTTATAATGGTCTCTTATTCCGGTACAGAGAGGTGAGAGAAAGAGAAAGCGAGAGAGAAATGTGTGACAAGTGACAGACCTTTACTAGTCAATATTACTCTGTTTCCACAATTAAATCTTTAGGAAAAGCAGACAAGTTGAACAATAAAATGAACATAAAGAACAAAGTGTGAAGTGTACACCATTGTGAAAAAAAGTGAAAAAATTATCCTTGCAGTTGCTAACCCGCCTGCACTTCCAGGGGTACATGCTTGTTTTGGTCTAGGGTCTATAATAAAAAAAGATATACTCACCCGATCCTTAGTCTTGCGGCAGTGGTCGCTCATCTCTATCCCCGTCCGCTGCGGCTGATGAATGTCCCTCAGCGTCCTCATGTCTAATACAAGCCAATGGACTTGTATTACACATGATGATTTCAGTGGGGATTAGACTGCTGGAGCAGAGGGGGAGAGAGGCTGCGGGAATCGGTCTGGCAGCAAGGCGAGGCTGAGGATCAGGTGAGTATATAATTTTTATTTTACACCCTTCGCCAAAATGAGCTCTTAACCCTTGCAGTGCAGGGGTAGCCCCACTGCAAGGGTTAATTTTTTTTTTAAACTGCCTCGAGTTCCTCTTTAAACTGTCTCTCTTTATGGGATACAACTTGGGGAAGGATTAAAATAAATCAATAAAAAAATACATAAACAAATAGAGCAAATAATAATAATAGAAAAAAATAAAAACATAAACACATAAATAACTCATTAAATGAGTTTAGTTACATTAAATATTTCACATTATTTTTTTGGGCTGTGTCTGGAGTGAGAGTAAAGTGGAAGTAAAGTTAAAAAAAAATTAAAAATAAATAAAAGAGCCCCATTGGAGCTTTTAGCTATGATGTTCTACTATGCACAGCATATTAACACATTATGGGAGACTTGCCTGCCAAGGCGATCCCCTCCAGCATTGCAATGTCTGCACTGTCCTCCCTCATCTGTGCTTCCATTTTCGCCCCGGTCTTGGACGGGATTGGTGTCTGAGTCTTCGGCCACTTGAGTGGCCAGGGCTGGATAAGGTAACTCCCACGCATGCTCATGAAAGTTACTTCATCTCGGCAAGAATCTTTCTGAGCCATTATTTTAATTTTTCAAATGCAAACAGCTAAATTACCTGAATTAGACCAGGTACCAGCCTCTGGCAGTCCCTGCACAGCAGGGCTGCAGCAAGAGAGGAAGAAGCACCACAATCAGTTCATATGCTGACAAGGAACATGCTGATATGAGGAGAAAGCAAAGTGACATGGAGATTAGCTCATTGCTGTGCTGCTTCTCCTTTCACTGTCCAGTCACAGGCTGGGGATGGGTCCAGGATGATTTGGGCTCAAAGGAAGTAGGTTGAATGACTGAAGGCATCTAGCAGTAAAAAAAAAAAAACCTGCAGAGGAAATCTCTGGATTGAAGCTGAATATTGCATCAAAGGTTGGTTTTCTTATTTTATCTTTTAATGGGCTGTGCATTTTTATGTTGACCAGGTCGGCGTGGCGGCTGAAAAAAAATACTCTCTCTTTGCTGGTGGGTAGGGGGGCTTAGCTGTACCACACAGAACCTTCCAAGCATGAGTAGAGAGGCAGCAAAAAGCAGCGAGGGGATGTCACTTGTATTAGGCCAGTTAGCTGCAGGGAGGAGAAATCGTAGCAGTGGCTGGATATGGTCTCCCTCTACATGCCTGTGAAGGAAGGTGTCTGTGCTGCTGGATAGGATTGCAGTGACCTCTCCTCCTCAATGGCAGCGTAATCAGTGAGTGTTTTGGTATGCCATTATAGCATTCCTTAAGTGATGCTGCTGCATGATGAATCATGGACACAGTGGCTATTAGGGATGCACCGATACAGTTTTTTTGGTACTCGCTGATTTCAAATACCGATACCAGTTCAGTGTGCCCTGATTATCAAGAAGACACGATGCCCGGCTTCCTGATTTCCTGGGAAGTTGATGTTCTATCAAAAGAACACCGGCTTCACTTCCCAAGGCTGCCTGACTTCCTGACCAATCAGGAAACCGGACAGCGGATCACAAGGTGCTGTCCGGCTTCCTGATTAATCAGAAAGCCAGGCTGCCTAGCAACAAGTGAAGCCGGGTTCCTATCCAATCAGGAGGCCGGGCGGCATGTCATGACCCGCCTCCAAGCTTCCTGATTGGTTAGGAAGCCGGCCTAACTTGTTTCTAGGTAGCCTGGCATCCTGACCAATCAGGAAGCTGTGAGGCAGGTCATGACGTGCCATCCGGCTTCCTGATTGGTAAGGTGCCAGGCTGCCAAGCAACACGTGAAGCCGGCTTCCTAGCCAATCAGGGAGACGGGTCATAACCCGCCGCCTGGCTTCCTGATTGGAAAGGAAGCCAGCTCCATGCTGCCTTGGCAATGCCGGTCAGAGGGAGACCATCCCTAGTGGCTATATTGTGCTTGTTGCTGAAGTCGCTAAGAAGAAATAAACGAATCATGTCAAACTCAGTTTCCGAATGATTTGGCAGACTGGACATGAAGGTTGACATTTAAGGAGACCAAATGGACCCCCCAATTCTTTCACTTCTGCAGAGGGTTCAGTAGATTATGGGGCATGATTCTATGCCCTGTGTGGTGTCACTGATACACCTAACAGGGAAGTGTGATATTTCTTTATTAGGTAGGTGACATTATAGAGGGTAAAAGCAGGATGCACACTATATCTACTCACTGGATGTCAGCAGTGAAGGTCAGGAAGCCTACGATCCATTTACATGCAGGCTCTTTGCACTGTGGGCGCCCCTTTATGCTCCACACTGAACGCGCAAGTGGTCATTTGTAGTGAATCAGTTCACTCTGATAGAACGTGTTCTGTCTCACCAGTCTAAGCAATGAAAGCTTGATCTCTGTAACTTACAGTTGTGGTGAGATGGCAGTAACTACCAATCTCAGTGAGTTGACAAGACAGTGACTTAATCCAGATGACATTATGAAGATCGTTGAGAAGTTTAAAATGAAACTCGTTAAAACGAGTTAAATCTTAAAAAGGCATTCAAGTGCCCTAACTATTAGTAAAAATGTATCTTATTTGTGTATCACTCGGCTATAGATCCTCAAATCATCTCTGAATTGGTGCTGACACTGTCCTTCTTTCTGGGGGGTGGCTACGTTTGTTCCCCATGGTCCCTGCCTGTGTTGTACAGCAGCCAACACTCCAAGCTTGCTCCTGTGATAACTACAATCTCAATACAGATTAGAAAATTAAATGCGAGACTGTAGTCCATCACAGGGGCGAGCTTGGAGCGGTGGTTCCTGTACAACACACACAGGGACAATGGGGAACAAAAGTAGCCACCCTCCAGAGGGAAAGACAGTGTGAACTGTGAACATGAATTCAGAGATGATTTGAGGATCTACAGCTGAGTGATACACAAATATTATACATTTGTGTTAATAGGTAAGGTACTTGAATGCATTTCTAAGATCTAAAGTGATATTAACCCTTTCGCTGCCAAGGACGTATGGCATACGGACCTACAAAAGTGCTTCCAGCTGGCCAGCTCCGTATGCCATACGGACCTGGCATTTACAGTTCTACTATAAGCTGATGGTCGCTTTAGCGACCATCAGCTTATAGTAGAACTGTTCAGCAGACTGTCCCCTTTAAATTAATAGCTGTCATCAGCGGCTCACAAGCCGCTGATGACTGCTATTATCAAAAATACCGGGCGCCCCCCTGTGTGTTTTAACAATTGAATTGTGTATTTTTATCGGTTTAATATTAATTTGAGAAACATTTGCGCAATTATCGCAGGGCCTACAAATTTAGTATCACCATCTTTTTATTCTACCGGGCCTGCGCTTTCAGAAAATATATGGTTTGGGGGGTCTTTTACAAACGCTAGCAACGCAGC